CGGCGAGGCTGTGCTGCTCGGGGCAGCTCCCGCGCACGCTGCAAGCAAGGCCGACACGCTCGCCTGCGGCGGCTGTGCAGGGGCGCCCGGCCGTGCGGGGCGGGGGAGGATGTGCCGGCGCCCCTGCAGGCAGGGGCTGCCTGCGGCATCTTCTCTCACGGGGCCACCTGAGCCTGCTCAGGCGCGCTCTTCTCCGCAGGGTAGGCTGCCAAAGGCCTGAAGATGCTTCTTGAGTCGTGGGCCGGAAGAGAGAGGGCAACCTGGCCCAGGGCAGAACCGCCCGCTCAGCCAGGCATGCTCATTCTGCTGGATATGGCACCTCACCAATGTACACACACATCACCACCACCCTGAACTGGAGCCTTCCCGCACCAGTCTTTCGCATAGGTCAGCCATGGGAAGAGAAGGAATGCAAAAGCGGCAAGCGGGTGGAGGCGAGACCAGGAGCTTAAGGACTTGTCAGGGACCCAACCCTTGAATCCAAGAGTATTCCAAGCACCAGAATGTCTGCTATGAACTTCCCTGCCATGCAGTTGTGATCTATTTTAATGGACTCCAAATTTTTTCCAAAGAACATGTATTTCACACACCCACAAAGATGTAAGTTTGGTGTAAAGTACAAATTTCTAGTCCTGGTTTTATTTCTTCGTTTCTAAACGCCTGATAGTCAAAGCTGTTACTGTTAATGGGAGTAGGGGCTTCACGTGGCACTCATCCCGGAGATGGGACAAAGGCATTTGTATGCACGTGAGCAGGATGCTTCTCATACCGGATCCCCCCTCCTGGAGACCCTGCTGAGCAGATGGCCAGAGAGCCCCCACAGGCAGGGCAGACATACTTAAAGCCAAAGAGAAAGCTTCTGCGAGGCTGCAGGACCTGTTCACCCACGCGCCAAACCCAAATAATATTTCTTCTTTTAACTTGTTAAGAAAGAGGGAAACGTGGTATGTACAGCTTAGCAGTTGGTGCGTCCACCAAGAATCCTCCCATCAACGCAGCAGGAGTGGGGCGAGAGGCAAGGACTGAAGAGATGGCTCAGGGAGAGAAGCCCTCTCGGCCATGATCCACCGTCAGCACGAAGCAAGAGGGGAGCGGTGGGGGCAGAGCTGTCACAGCAGGCAGAAGCCCTCCGCTGGCCCTCTCTGGATGGAGAGCTGCTGCAGGGGGCCCCGAGTCCCCACCTGGCCACCGAGGCAGCCCTCACTTGCCCAGCAGCGCCGTGACTTCCTGCAGATGCTCGCGCACCACCTGGCCCAGCACAGCGTAGACGTCCCTGCAGGCCTTGCTGGCCGCCTCCAGGATGGGCTCCAGGTGGTCCTCGTGCAGCCGGGAGGTCATCTCCAGCAGCGCGATCTGGTCCGACTTGGGCAGCAGCGCCAGGGCCAGCTGGGGGCCAGCAGCGGCCTCCTCCACGTAGTTCAGGTCAGCCAGGGGCATGTCCTCGATGAAGCCGGCCGAGCTGGCACACACGTAGTCCCGCATGGGAATGCCGGCGTCGATGACGGCCAGCGTGGCCGCGTTGACAGAGGCGCAGTAGTTCCCACCGTCCGCTTGCAAGATCTGGGGGAGACGGGAGGCCCCTCAGGACGCCGCAGGGAAAGACCGACCGGCAAGCTGCCCGGCGCGGCACCACCCCACGGGCACCCTGGCCAGATCCCAGTCCCCCGGCCAGGCAGGCGCCCCGGGGCCTGACCCCCCGGCCGGACAGAGCTGCTTTCCAGGCGGCTTCCCGAGCCCCGAGCAGCGAGCGACCTGCCGCCCCCCCGCCTCTCGGCGCCGCCCACCTGCACGTAGATGTCGATCTGCGAGCGCGGGTAGAGCTGCGTGAGGATGGCGGCCTCGAAGGTCTGCTTGAGGTGCAGCGTCATCTCGCTGGACTTGCGGTCGCCGTGGGGCCGCCGCTTGCGCTCGCCCGTGCTGAAGGTGGCCATGCTGAACTGGCAGTTGACCAGCGCCTGGTCGTGCAGGGCCTTGCTGCGGGAGCCGCGCATCTGCGGGGGCGGCAGCGCGCGTCAGGCCGGGCCGGGCCGAGCCGGGCCCCGCCGCGCGCCCCCCGCCCCGCCGCCCGCGCCCCGCTCACCTCGTGCGGCCCGTACACGACGGCCAGCGCCTTGGTGTTGCCCTGCTCCAGGTAGGCGGAGCCGTCGGCCTGCGCGAAGACGCCCATCCGCGCGCGGATCTGGCGCAGCTCGCCGGCCCGGCGCCCGTCCACGCGGTAGCCCTGCTCCGACAGCAGCTCCAGCCCCGCCATGCCGCCGTCCCGTCCGTCCCGTCCCGCCCTGCCCCGCGCGCCAAGCCCCGCCCCGCGCCTGCCCCGCCCCGCGCGCCGCACGTGGGAAGCGCGGCCGCGGGCTCGTACACGGGGGCGGCGCGGCGCCCGCTCTGCCCGCGGAAGGGCTAAGGAGCCCCCCGCGCGCTCCCGCCCAGGAAAACCTTTCGCTGGCGCCCGCCCGGCGCACAGGCGGAGCCGCACCGGCGGCCCCGGGCCGGGAGCGGGCGCCTCGCGGAGCCCGCCCTCCTCCGCCCGGATCCAGGCGCGCCTTCAGCGTCCCCGGCCCGAATCTGCCCGCTAAGCGCTTGAGCCGAGGACGCGCTCCGCCTTCGCGGCAAGGCCCCCGCGCTCCCGCGGAGCTCCCGCGCCATGGCGCAGGCGGCCGACGGGGCGGGCGTGCAGGCCGGCCGGAGTGCGCAGCGCCCCCGTCGTCCCCGCCGAACCTGCTCGGTAGGCGGGGAGGGGCGGAGCCGGCCCGCCCGCGGGGGCGGAGCTTGCCACGGCGAGCAGGTCCGGGCCGGAGGCGCTCCGTCGGCGGCCGTTGCCTGACAGCTGCTGCGCCGGGGTCTCCCGCGGCGGCTGCCTGGAAGGAAACCGCGGGCGGCGCGCTTCCGCGCTCTCCTCCGTCTGCCGGGCGCCGCGCCGTCGCGCGTCCGCAGCGCCGTCCCCGGGCCTCGCCGCCCGCCCGCCCTAGCCGGTGACCCCGTCCCGCCTCGCCTCGCCTCGCCTCGCCTCCCCTGCGGAATCCGGGCGGCCGGACCCCCGCGCCTCCCTCCGCCCGGCCATGGCTGCGCCCCCGCCCGGCAAGTTCCAGTTCTCCATAGACCGCGGCGGCACCTTCACCGACGTCTTCGCCCGCTGCCCCGGGGGGAGGGTGCGGGTGCTGAAGCTGCTCTCGGAGGACCCGGCCAGCTACCGCGATGCTCCCACCGAGGGCATTCGCCGCATCCTGGAGGAGGTGAGGGGCCTGCCGGACCGGGGCGAGCGCCGCTCGCGGGGGCTCCTGGCCAGCCTTGGGCAGCCGCGGGGCGGGCTGCTCCTCCTTGACCCGCCGCATTCCAAGCAGCCGAGCCGGAACAAAGGCCTTGCACAAGCGGAGGATTAGCCGGCCCAGCAGGCACAAGGAAGCCGAGGTCACCCGAGGCAAGGCCGAAGGGCGCCCCAGGAGGAGGGCCCGTGGCTGCTGGCGCTCCTGGGGAGGCCCCCTCCCTTCCCAGGGCTCAGGGAAGGCCGGAAGGCACCCTTGTCCTCGCTGGCGCTTGTGCTGGCCCCAGGTTGCTGTTGCGTTCCCTGAGGGGCCCACCCGGATCTCCTCACAACAGCCCTGTGAGGGAGGCCAGGCGATGAGGCTGCAACAGGCCCAAGGTCACCCAAGAATCTTTGGCTGAGCCAGGACTCAGACCGGGCTCTCCTGGTCCGGAGCTGCCCGGCCTTGCAGGTGCATTCCGTGGGCTGTGGCCAGGCGCCCTGTCCTGGGGCAGTGTGGGGGGCTGCCAGGGGGCCACTGACGCTTTGCTTGCCCCAGGAATGCGGCGTCCCGTTCCCCAAAGGCCAGCCCCTGGACACGTCGTGCATCGAGTGGATCCGAATGGGCACCACGGTGGCCACCAACGCCCTGCTGGAGCGGAAGGGCGAGCCAGTCGCCCTGCTCATCACGAAGGGCTTCCGGGACCTGCTGCACATTGGCAACCAAGCCCGGCCCCGGATCTTTGACCTGGTCAGTGCAGGGGCTCTGAGCCACATGGCCGGGCACCTGGTGCCGGGCCCTGCAGCCCTGCCACCGTGCCCCGGCTGGTGCCAGGCGGTGCCCTCGTCTCTGGAGCGGGAGCAGAAGGGAAGGGCTTGCTGCCGCTGCAGATCAGCACCCAGCTGGCTGGCACTCTGGAGAGGCATGTGACCCCACTCCCCCTTCATGCAGCCTCCTCCAAGGGGGAGGGATCACGAGCCTAGCCCCTGCCGGGCTTGCCCTTGGCCGAGGCTCCTTGGGCAGTGGGGCAGTGGAGCCAGCCATGCCTGGAGCAAGCCATCTGGGGCTCGCTCAGCTGTCATCACAGGCCGGATTACCCTGAAATGCCCCCGTGGCTCCTCAGGAGCAGGTGCTGGAGCTGGGCTGGTCCCTGGAGGCTCGGGGCAAGAGAAGGCGCGCCGTGCTGGGCCGGCCTCGGAGCGCTCGTGAGGAGGCTGCAGACCCTGCCCGCGCCCTCTGTGGCTGACTCTCGGAGCTGACACGGGGCCTGGGGGCCCCTTGCAAGCCCCATGGCCTGCCGTGTCTGATGCACGGAGAGGCTCTGGGAGTCCAGCCTGCTCCCGCGCCCCCTCACTCTGAGACAGGACGGGGGCTGCTGTGACGCGACCTTTCTGTGCCCTGCCACACCGCCCCACAGGCCGTCGCGGTGCCAGAAGTCCTGTACGAGGCCGTGGTGGAGGTGGAGGAGCGCGTCGTCCTGCATCGCGAGGGATGCAGCCTCTTTGAGCCGTCCCGGCCAATCCCAGGTGGGGACCCCGGGCCAGGCCATGGGGCAGGGTGCTTCTACGGCTGGCCAGGAGTGCCGGGGGCTGGCGCCGGGTCCATGGTGGGCATGGCCCCTGTGAAAGCCACGGGGGAGGCGGTGGCGGAGCGGGCAGCCGGGACTTGCTGGCGGACTTTCCTGGGCCTCTTCCTTCCCAGGTTTGACTGGAGAGCACCTGGTGGTGGAGCGGCCTGTGGACCTGGGCGCCCTGCGGGGGCAGCTGGTGGCGCTGCTGGCACGGGGGATCCGCAGCCTGGCGGTGCTGCTCCTGCACTCGTACACGTGCGTGCCTGCTCCGGCCCTCGGGCTGGGCGTGCGCCGCGCAGGGGGCGGCTGGGGGGGCCGTGCCGGAGCCCACTGAGAGCAGCGCAGTGGCTTCCCTGCAGGAAGAGGAGAGGCCAGGGAAGCGGTGGGAGAGCACAGACCCGTCGCAGCCAGAAACAATGTCTGTCTCCCCATGTAAAATCCCGTGACTGAGCCAGAGATGCTCACCTGGAAACACGTTCCTCTCCCGCTTGGGACAGCCCCTGAGTCTGCAGCACGTTCTTGTGAAGCCGCTTTGGCACCCCAGGGCAAGGCTCCAGGCACCCCCTGCCAGGTTACAGGCGATTAATGAGTTCACATGAGAGCAGAGAACGCAAGCCTGGCCCAGCTTCCTTAACCAGGCGCCCTCCGGACTTGTGGGCCTGCCATGCCCGGCATCCAGACTGGCATCTGGGCAGCAGAAAGTTGGAGATACCTAGATTAGGTTCTTGCCTTCCGCCTTAATGACTGGCAAACTTGCGTCTTGGGGCGCTACCCGTTTGCTCAGAAGGAACTCCGGTTAAGTGCAGGGCTGTAGCCCAAGGCGCTTCTCCTGTATTCAGCACCACCAGGTGAGCCTTGGGGTCCGTTTGGACACCTTGCGGATCCCGGTGGGAAAGCAGCGAGGCTTCCTCAGGCAGAGCGTTGGTTGGCTGCCTCATCCAGCCCAGCTGGCACTCAGGAAGCCCCCCAAGGCCCCTCGAGCCTGGCCTCGCGCCCAAGAACGCCAGAGTCGGGCGGCGGGCCCAGTGTGGCCCCCGGGCCCGAGGGGGGGCTTGCACAGTCTTTCCAAGGAAGGGCCCGGGGATGGCTCTCCCACGTGTGGGGAGAGGAGGTGTCCAGATTCTGGAAGGCAAGAAGGTCCGGCGGAGTTCAGAGGACTTGTGGCAGTGGAGGCGGACTCCCTCGCATCACGAAGGCAGATCTGGCCTCTCACCGTGGCCTTTGGTCCCTCCTCCGTCTCCAGACTAGCTCTCCGGAGGTTTCTGTGCCTTCTCTTTGCCCGTAACTGATATATGGGCTGAAAATGAATGCAGATCCCGAACTTGGGCTCTCTGGTGCTGAGCTATTACTACCGCTCCTAGTACCAATCATCGTTGCCTTATGTCATAGCATTGTATGCCTCTTGGTGCATTTGAAAACATCACTCTGCAGCGCTGGGAGTTTTGGCTTGGCCCATCCCCTGGGCCTCCTTTTCAGGCCCGGCCTCCACCCCAGCCGCACCTTCCCTCCCCAGCTTGGTGGCCCTCCCAGGATGCTGGTGGGGGCTTCAGTTCCACCCCAAAAGGCTGGACCAGGGGACGGGCAGTGCCTGGCTGAGGGCCAGCGCCTGCTTCTCACTGGGGCAAACCCAATATAGGCCGTAAAGCCATCTGCCCGCAGGGAGTGCCGCGCAAATGCCGGCCCTCTGAAGAGGCCGCCATTCCGAGCTCTTTGGACGTAGCCCGGACTCCGCTCAGCTTCCGAGCCGGCACCTGCCCTGGGCGCCACCGCGAGCGGCGGCCCCTTCCTCCGTGGCCACGTGTGCAGGCCGCTGAGCGCTTCTGTCCCGCGCAGGTGGCCAGAGCACGAGCGGCAGGTGGGGGCCCTGGCCCTGGAGCTGGGCTTCCGGCAGGTCTCGCTCTCCTCCGAGGTGATGCCCATGGTGCGGGCCGTCCCGCGGGGCTACACGGCCTGTGCAGACGCCTACCTCACGCCGCACATCCGCCGCTACCTGGACAGCTTCCGGGCGGGCTTCGCGTCCCAGCTGCAGGTGAGCGCGCGAGGCCTCCAGGCGAGCCTCGCTGGTCCTCCTGGTCCAGCATGCTGCCCCCGCATGGGAAGCCTCCGGAGGGATGCGGGTCCGAGAGGCCCCACCTGCGTGCCCCAGCGGCCGGCCCCGGGCGGCGTGCCACCTCAGAGGCTGGCGGCAGCGCAAAGCGGCTGGGGCGGCGCCGCCAAGGACCAGCTCCGTCCCTGCGGCTATCCAGCGAGGACGCCGCAGCCGTGCAGGGCCGCGGGGGGGGGGGGGGGCTTGCCCGGGTGGCCACACGGGGGGCTCAGCCCAGGGCGCCCTTGCGCCTGCCCCCTCTCTGACAGCAGGAGCGCGAGGCCACATTCGCAGCTCTGCTGCAAGGGCAAAGAGGGCCAAGGAGCTGGGCAAGCCGAACGCGCCCTGGGTTGGGCACCTGGCTGGCGGCAGCAGGGGGGTCCGGAGCACACGGGGGGGGGGGGTGCGCAGCAAGAAGGGGGGCCCTGGGCGCCTGCCCGGGTCGTGGCTGATGGGCCGCCCGCCTCCCTCTGGACGGCGCCCGTGCCCCGGTGCGGCTCGCAGGGCTGGTGGGGGGCATGGCCAGCTCCCTCCAGCCCGTCCGGCGGCCTCTCCCACAGGGCGTGCCGGTCCTCTTCATGCGCTCCGACGGCGGCCTCACCCCCATGGAGGCCTTCAGCGGCTCCCGCGCTATCCTGTCCGGCCCAGCGGGGGGCGTCGTGGGCTACGCGGTCACCACGCACCGCGCGATGGGCAGGCGGCCCGTCATCGGCTTCGACATGGGAGGTGAGCGGGGCGCGGGGGCGCGGGCGCGGGGCGGGCGCGGGGCTGCCGGGCTCACGGCGCGCCTCCTCCAGGCACCTCCACGGACGTGAGCCGCTACGCCGGGGAGTACGAGCACGTGTTCGAGGCCGCCACCGCCGGCATCAGCATCCAGGCGCCGCAGCTGGACATCAACACGGTGGCCGCGGGCGGCGGCTCGCGGCTGTTCTTCAGGTGGGCGGCCGTCCTCCCCGCGCTGCCCCGGAGCCGCCCCCCCTGCGAGGGGGCGCCCGCCGCGGATGCTGCCGGGCCGGGCCGACCCTGAAGCCTCGGCGGGGGCGCATCCCCAGCCCCACTCGGAACTCGCGCGGCCCTGTGCTTCCCGCCCCTCCCAGCCGGGTCGGCACCGGAGCGCGGTGCCCGCGCGATTCCCGCCTGCCTTTCTCCCGCTGCAGGTCCGGCCTCTTCGCGGTCGGCCCCGAGTCGGCGGGCGCGCACCCGGGGCCCGCCTGCTACCGGAAGGGTGAGGACGCGGCGCGGCGGGCGGCGGGGCGGGCGCGGCGGGGTGGCGGCGGGGCTGACCCGCGCTTCTCCCGCGGTCGCAGGGGGCCCGCCCACGGTGACGGACGCCAACCTGTGCCTCGGCCGGCTGCTGCCCGAGCACTTCCCCCGCATCTTCGGGCCCGACGAGGACCTGCCGCTCTCCGCCGAGGCGGCGCGGGAGGCGCTCCGGGAGCTCGCCGCGGCCGTCAGCGCCTTCGGGGGCGCCGCGCAGCCGCGCAGCATCGAGGAGGTGGCCATGGGCTTCATCCGGGTGGCCAATGAGGCCATGTGCAGGCCCATCCGGGCCCTGACGCAGGTGGGGCGGCGGGCGGTCCAGCGGGCGGGCGAGAGAGGCACGGAGGGTGCAGGTGCCCCAGAGCCCCCAGGGGGCGGAGGCGGAGGAGTGGCAGCCCCCTGGGCCTGCAGGCTGCCTTCGGGGGACAACTTTCAGGGGATGGCCGGCGCCCCGCAGGCCACCCCGAGATGTGGCGGGGTGGCCTGGAGGGCGAGGTGGCTGAGCTTTCCGAGCCGGCAGCCCGAAGGTGTCCCCCAGGGGGGAGCTCTGCCCTGCCCTGCCGCCGGCAACCCCTGCCTGGGCTGGGTGCACTTGGTGGTGCCCCTGGGAACACCGGCCAGGGCGGGTGGGCCACGGCGGGCACAGTGGGGTCATGCCGGCTGCCCCCCAGATGCTGCCCTCCCCTGTCTCGGCAGGCCCGGGGCCACGACACGTCGCGCCATGTGCTGGCCTGCTTTGGTGGGGCTGGGGGGCAGCACGCCTGCGCCATCGCCCGGACCTTGGGCATGGGCAAGGTCTTCATCCACAGGTAGGTGCATGGGGGGGCCGGGGGGGGGGCTGGGGCCACCGTGCCCTGAAGGCGGCAGTACCCCGCGGGGGAGCTCTGCAGGCGACGCGCCCCTGCAGGGGGGAGCTGCCATGTTGCACTTGCCCTCCCGGCTGGGCAGTGAGAACAGGCTGGGGAGGGACTTCTTTGGGCACCCCCCCCAGGCTGGGCAGGCAAGGCCGTGGTTCAGAGGCCTGGCCCAGCCCTCCAGCCTTGTGCGGCTGCTGAGGTTCCCCAGCTCCGGGTCCCGACTGGGGCGGCATCCCTGGGCTGCACGCCAGAGGGGAAAGATGAGGGCGACCTGCGGTGGCCAGAAGTCCCATCTCCCTGCCCCTGCAATTGTCGGGGCCAGCAGTGGACACGCCATCTCTCTGGGTCTTGATCTGGGGTAGCAGGACGGCACACCTGTGCCAGGTTGAACAATCCACCTGTGGCTCGGTGTGCTGCGGGCCAGGCTGGCCGGGGGAGGTGTGCGTGTGGGGGGGCAGCCGTGGGACCGGGCAGCATTTGCCTAGCTTGCAAGAGCTCGGCCAGGGTGCGGGGGACGTGGCCTTGCTGCGCGGGAGGCCTTCCCAGCCTGGGTGGCCGCTCCCCGGAGACCTGCTGCCGTGGGCCTCGAAGGCGCTTGCGTCCTGCAAGGGGGCCGCCCCGCAGGCAGTCGCGCCGCCGGTGGGGTGGCTTGGTGTGGGCTTCCCTGCGTGTGCGTGTGCCCTGCCCCACCGCGGCGGAGAGCTCTTCCCAGCAGAACATTTCCGCGCAGGCTGCCTAGTGCCCCCCCGCCGGGTCCTGGGCACTGCCTGTGGGGCGGGAGAGCAGGCGCCCTGGGCGTTCCCCGCGGCGAGGGCAGGAGCGGGGCTGCGCTCCCTCTCTGGAGGCGACTCTGGCCGGGAGCTGCGGCCGCGGCTGGCTGAAAGGCGCAGCCGGAGCCCGCGGGGGCCTGGCCCTCACCTCCCCGCTCCCCACAGGCACAGCGGCATCCTCTCGGCCTACGGGCTGGCGCTGGCGGACGTGGTGCACGAGGCCCAGGAGCCCTGCGCCCTGGCCTACGGGCCCGCCTCCCACGCAGAGCTGGACGGCCGCGTGGCGGCGCTGGAGCGGCAGTGCGTGCGGGCCCTGGAGGCACAGGGCTTCTGCAGGTGGGGCCCAGCTGGGCGGGGGGCACGGGGCAGGGCGCTGGCCACGCAGGCCGGAGCTGTGGCTGGCCTCTCGGGGGAGGGGAGGCCCTCCTTTGGGCCGCGGCCTGGGGTCCTGAGCCCCACGCCCGGCCCCCGCTGCAGGTCCCAGGTGAGCACCGAGGCCTTCCTGCACCTGCGCTACGCCCGGACGGACTGCGCCCTCATGTGCTCCGCCAGGGGCTTCCCCGCCACGCCGGAGAGCTGCCGCAGCGGGGACTTTGCCGCTGCCTTCGCCGCCAGGTGGGCGTCCTCCCCACATCGCGGGACGTGCCCTGCCCCCCGTGCCCCCTCACTGCTGATCCCGCTCCCGCTGCCCGCCCGCCAGGTACCAGCAGGAGTTTGGGTTCACCATCCCCGGCCGGGCCATCCTGGTGGATGACGTGCGGGTGAGAGGCACGGCCAGTCTCGGGCTGGACCAGGAGGTGCCGGGGCCTGCCGCCGAGGGGCCTGCCCCCCTCGAAAAGGTGAGAACCCCCTGCACGGGCGGCCTCCCTCCGCCATCCCTCCCGCCCGGCTTCTCCAGGAGGAAGGCGGCCCTGCAGCGCTCGCCTCAGCCGGGGGGGGGGCGGCAGCCTCCCCCTTTGCAGAGCCCCCTCCTGCCACCCAGCTGGGCGGCAGCTCTCTCCAGCTGAGAGGCCCGTGAGACGTGCCATGGGATGGGGAGCAGGGGCGGGGGGGGGGGGCGCTCCAGGCTCCCCTTTGAAGGCTGGCAGGCTCTGGTGGGGTGAGGTGCTGGACCCCGGGGGCCTGATCTGGCTTCGGGGCATCAGTAAGGAGGTTCTTCATGGCCTGGAAAAGCTGCCTTCGGGAAGGGCCTGTCCCGCTTTGCCAGCTTGGCGGTTCTTCAGATCCTCCACCCTCCCGACGGGTTGATTCGCCCTTCGGTGAACGTTTGCGCTTCGGGAGAATCTGCTGAACGCCCCAGAGCAAATTCCAAGGGGCGCTGCTGCCTCGGGCCGGAGCCCCGGCCTCACACCCAGCAAAGCGCCCCAGCCTTCCGGCCGGGATCAAGGGTCATCTCCGTGCCCTGTGCCCTGGTGCCGTTCCCCATGGCCTCGGCTGGCCAGGGGGGAGGTCCCTGCCTGACGCCCCATGCACCACGGCGGCAGCTCCGGGCCGGGGAGTGTGGATGGGGCACGAGCCGGGGCCATGCGGCCATCAAGGTGGCAAGGGGCACGCGCTGTGCGCACTTGACCTGTGCGGATCGGGGCCTGGGCCTGTGCCTCGGAAGCGAGGAGGCCATGCGCGACGTAAGCCGAAGGACGGCCGTAGAGCTTCCGCTTGCTCAGCTCACGCCGTGCTGTTTTCCAGAGTCCCCGGGAGAGACGGACACAGGGCAAAATACGCAGCCGGGTTTGGCCGCCATATCCAGCCAGTTAATGAGTGTCTGCTTGGTGTTATGATTAGCTTAGTGGGAATCCTGGGGGGGCCCCTCGGGTGTTGCAGAACGAAGGGGCACGGCTGGGCAGCCGGGGGGCCACTGGCCTGCCCAGGGCCTCTGAGCACGTCCCGGGAGTCCTGCGACGAAAGTCTGCCGGGGGGGGGGGCTGCCCTTCGTTCCTGGCCGCCTCCTGAAAGAGGCCTGCGAGGGGACAGAGCGGCCACGCGGGGCCTCGGGTTGGTTCAGGGGTCAGGCGTCCCTGATGGCCAAGAAGCTGGAGAGGGATTTCCGGGGGTGGCTGGGGGGCCGAGTAGAGCACGGCCCCCAGCCCCGCTCTGCTGCTGGTTGCCCGCAGGTGACCCGCTGTTACTTTGAGGACGGCTACCTGGACACCGGCGTCCACCTGCTCAAGGACCTGGCCTGGGGCCACACCATCCCCGGTCCCAGCATCATCCTCGACAAGAACAGGTGAGTAGGCTCCTCGCCGGCCGAGGGAGGTGCGCAGGGGCCGCCCCCGCAGAGGGGCAGAGGGGCGGGGCAGGGCGGGGGCGCTGGCGGAAGGGGCCCAGCCGTTCCCTGTGCCCGCAGCACCATCCTCGTGGAGCCGGGCTGCACGGCATCGGTGACGCGGCTCGGGGACGTTTGCATCGCGGTGGGCTCCGGGCGGGAGCAGCCGGTCGGCCCCCGGATGGACCCCATCCAGCTCTCCATCTTCTCCCATCGCTTCATGAGCATCGCAGGTGAGCGCAGAGCCCGCCCCACGGGGGGGGGGGGGGGAGTGTGCGGCTGTCATGCCCCGCCTCGCCTTGCCCCACCGGCTGCTCTTCCCCCACAGAGCAGATGGGGCGCATCCTGCAGCGCACGGCCATCTCCACCAACATCAAGGAGCGGCTGGACTTCTCCTGCGCCCTGTTCGGCCCAGATGGGGGGCTGGTCTCCAATGCTCCCCACATCCCCGTCCATCTGGGAGCCATGCAAGAGGCGGTGCAGTTCCAGGTAGGGCCGGCCCCATTTCGCCTTTGGTGCAGAGGGGATGGACCCCGGAATCTGCCCACGCCCCCGCGTCAATTCAGGGCCATGGAGCATTGGCCCGGGGCCTCCCCCCTCCCCCATAATCCCTGGGGGCCCGAGGATGCCCCAGCTTAGCTATTGCTGCCGAGACCTGGGCTCTGAGCTGGGCGGGGATGCCAGCATGTGCCCCCCCTGCTGGCCCCGCCCACTGCTGGGGGGGGGCGGGGGCTGTCCTGGGCGTCCTGCAGCCCCCCACCCAGCACTTGGGCCTTCTGCTGTGCCAGATCCGGAGCCTGGGCGCTGACCTCCATCCGGGAGATGTGCTCCTGAGCAACCACCCCTGTGCCGGGGGCAGCCACCTGCCCGACCTGACGGTGATCACTCCTGTGAGTGGCACGGGGGGCTCGGGGCAGCCCGGGCCCCCCGGGGTGCTCGCGTGTGGGCGGGCGGGCGGGACGCGGGGGCGCTCTTCCCGGCGGGGCTGCTGCGCGTGGCGCCTGGGGGCAGCCCCGGCCCGACTTTCCCCGCCCCGTGCGTGCGGTTCAGGGAGGCGGCTCTGGGCGGCGCCGACGTGCGGGGGCACACCGTGCCTGGGGGGCCGCGAGGGGCCCGTCCAGATGCTCGCGCCGTTCTGACCCCGCCGCCCGGCCCTCGCCTGGCGCCTCGCCCCGCTGCTGCAGGTGTTCTGGCCGGGGGCGGCCCGGCCCGTGTTCTTTGTGGCCAGCCGGGGGCACCACGCTGACATCGGGGGGATCACACCGGGCTCCATGCCACCGCACTCCCGCTGCCTCCAGGAGGAGGGGGCCACCTTCATTTCCTTCAAGCTGGTCAAGGGCGGCGTCTTCCAAGAGGAGGGTACGCCCCGTGGCTGCGTGGTGGGGAGGGCAGCTGCCGCCGGAGGCCGGCCCCCGGTGCCTCCGCTGGCGTGCCCGTGCCCGGCTGGGGGGCTGGGCCGGGCCACCCCGGGCTCGTGCTGAAGCCGGGCTGCCACCGCCGTCCCTCCCTCCCTCCCTGGCAGCCGTCACAGAGGCCCTGCTGGCCCCCGGGCGCCTCCCCGGCAGCAGCGGCACGCGGAACCTCCAGGACAACCTCTCCGACCTGCGGGCTCAGGTGGCGGCCAACCAGAAGGGGATCCAGCTGGTGAGCAAGCTGATCGGCCAGTACGGCCTGGAAGTGGTGCAGGCGTACATGGCGCACATCCAGGTGAGGAGTGGGCCCCGGGGGGCCGCTGCCCAGAGCACCCTCCTCGCTCAGGGAGCACGCGCGGCCCCGCCGGCCCCGTGTGGAGCCGGCCCGCGGCTGTGCGAGGGGGACGGGTGTGGAGGCATGTGCGTGCGCGGGAGGCCCGCTGCGGACCCTGCGGGAACCGGGGCAGCCCCGAAGCACCGCTTCCGTTGCGCGGCCCCCTCCTGGAGCCCCCCTGGCGGGGCTCCCCCCAGCCATTCTGAGGGGCTCCCGGTGGGTCGCGGGAGGGCGGAAGCAGAGCCGCCGCTGGACCGTGCGGGAGGCCTCTCCTCGCGAGCCGCATTCCCATGGAGTCCGCCCTGCAAGACGACCGCAGCCTCGCCCAGCCTGCCCAGCACCGGCATATGTAGGCCTGCGGCCTCTGGGCCGGGGGAACAGCCGCCACCGGCTCAGTAGCCGCCGACGGCAAGCTGCTGCCCTGTGGAGCTGCTCCCCTTGGAAAGCCAGCTCAAGTTGGCGGGGCCGTCCCAGCCTCTTGCTCGGGGAGCTTTGCCAGCACCTTTGATATCGCCGGCCGGCCGCCAGGGCAGCGCATTCCTGGCATCCTCAGGCAGGGCCCCCGCCAGCCCCACACGTCCCGTACCAAGTAGAGGAAGCCAGCGGCTGTGCTTTGTGCACGTGTGTGTGTGCGCGCGCGCGAGAAAGCGAGAGAGAGGGTCGGACAGACACCCGGCTGTCCCTGATGCCACCTGCAGACACGCGTCTCTGCTGCCCCCAGGCCAACGCAGAGGTGGCCGTGCGGGAGATGCTGAAGGACTTTGCCACCCGCCGGGGGCAGGCGGGATGCCCCCTGGTGGTGGAGGCGGAGGACTTCATGGATGACGGCTCCCCCATTCGCCTGAAGGTGACTGTCGACCCCCAGGAGGTGAGCGCCCGACAGCCGCGGTGGGCGGAGTGAAGGCGAGACTCAAAGATGGCGGGGAGCTCTCCAGCCTGAGGGAAGGGGCAGCGGGGGGCAGGTGCCGCCCTCTCAGCTGCAGGAGCGCAAGGCAGCCTGCGCTGGAGCCAAAAGATTCCCGTGTGCAGAGAAGGCGGCCCCGGGGTGTGGGGGAAGATGCCGCCTCTGCGTGCAGCTGCGCCGAAAGGGAACCTCCATGCCGGGCACAACCAGGAAGGAAGCGAACGAGGCACCGCTTCTCCGAAAGGGGTGGCGGAGCGGGCCGTGCGCGGCCGTGGCCCCGGGATCCTGGAGTGCCCCTTTACCCGCAGGGCAGCGCCGTGTTCGATTTCGCCGGCTCTGGCCACGAGGTGTACGGGAACGGGAACGCCCCTCGCGCCATCACCCTCTCGGCCCTGATCTACTGCTTGCGTTGCTTGGTGGGCCAGGACATCCCCCTCAACCAGGTGGGCCGGGAAGGGCTTGTGCCGCGGCACGCTCGGGGGACGGGCGGGAATCCGCCCCGAGAGGCGCGGCTCCCAAGCTCACCCCGGGGGCCGGAGGGCCGGAGGGCCGGGCAGTTTGGCTCCCCCGCCAAGGTGGGACGTCTCCGGCTTCTGCCTCGCAGGGCTGCTTGGCCCCGGTGCAGGTCCTCATCCCCAGAGGCTGCCTGCTGGATCCCTCCCCAGACGCGGCCGTGGTGGGGGGCAATGTGCTGACCTCGCAGCGGGTGGTGGACGTCATCCTGCGGGCCTTCCAGGCCTGTGCGGCCTCTCAGGTGAGCCGTGGGGCGGGAGGGGCAGGCACAGGTGGCTGGCAAGAGGAGCGGTGGCCCAAGCAGCTCCCTGGACCAGCATGGCCCTGGCGTGGCGCTTCGTGGCATCGTGGACCAGTAGAGCCGGACGGGGCCAGGAGGCCCTTGGGCCCAGCCCCTGCTGGTGCAGGACACCAGTTTGCACCATCCCACTCGGAAGGCTCCCCAGTTTCTTTCTGAATGCCCCCAGTGCGGGAGAGCCCCCACCTCTCCAGGCAGCTGGTCCCACTGCCATATTGCTCTGACCGTGAGGAAGCTTTTCCCGATGTCCAGCCTGAATCTTAATCCGTTGCAATTGTTGAATTGATTCTTCCGCGTCCTGCACTCTGGCGTCAGCAAGAGGAGATCTTGACCTCCCTCTTTGGGGCAGCCTTTGGGGGACTTACAGAGGGAGCTCATGTCCCCCCTCGGTCTTCTCTTCCCAAGGCAGAACGTGCCCCATTCTCTCCGCCTCTCCTGATAGGGCCGCGTTTCCATGCCTTGCATCATTTTTCTTGCCCTCATCATAACCCTGCTAATTTTTGTCATCTTCAATCTCGGTGCTCAAAACTAGACACGATATTCCAGATGAGGTCGGACTAGTGAGGAGTACAGAGGAACTGCTACTTCTTGTTACTTGGAAGTAAGGCATGGAAACAGAAAACAGAGCGAGTCAGAAGGGGTCTCCTGGGCCATCTAGTCTGACCTCTGGCTCCAGCCGGCTCCGCTCACGACATGCCTGCCATGTGCACGTCCAGCCTCTCGCTGAACACCCGCACTGGTGGGCCTCAGCCACCCCCATGGAAGCCCATTCCATGCCTCCGTTAATGCATCCCAAAATAGTGCTTGCCCTTTGCAGGCAGCTGGCCTTACCGCTTACTGTGCATTTCCCGAAACTTGGACACAGCAGGGTGGGGCTGGGCACCTCTGGCACGCAGGGGGCCGGAGCCCGTGCGGAGCCCCTGCAGAGCTCCCGGGCCGTCATGTCCCGCCTCCCCGCAGGGCTGCATGAACAACGTCACCTTCGGCAATGAGCGCGTCGGCTACTACGAGACGGTGGCTGGCGGGGCCGGGGCCGGGCCCTCGTGGCACGGCCGCAGCGGGGTTCACAGCCACATGACCAACACCCGCATCACGGACCCCGAGATCCTGGAGCAGCGGTGGGTGCCGCCGAGGGGCCTCCTGGGGGAGGCGGCAGTGGGGCGCCGAGGGGGGTGCCAGCTCGGCCGGGGAGATATGGGGGCCACCCGCTCGGCGCTCCTGAGGCGGGGGGAGCCAGGTGCCTGCGAGTTCCGTTGGGGGGCCCTGTCCCCCGGCCCCGGGGCCCGTGCAGGGGGTTTTGTCCTGGTGGGTCCCACCCCGTCACCCGCCTCTGGCACTTCCTCGGGGGTGCCCCACGGAGGGTAACAGCTCCTCCCCGCCTGCCTCCAACAAGGTACCCGGTGGTTCTGCGGCGCTTCCAGCTGGCGCCTGGCACTGGGGGCGCCGGGCGCTTCCGAGGAGGAGATGGGGTCCTCCGGGAGCTGCAGTTCCGGGAGGAGATGGTGCTGTCGGTGCTGAGCGAGCGACGGGCGTTCCGGCCATACGGGCTGCAAGGTGAGGAGGGAGCCGGTCCAGGTCCCGGGCGCCCCCAGCCCCAGGGAGGGCTGGGTTGCCCCTGGCCACCTCAGGTGCGCCTGCCGGGGCCAGGTGGGGGCCAGTGCAGGGTGCGTCCTGCGGTTCCCCGCACCGCGCGCCCCCTGGACCCACCTCAGCCCGCTCCTTCCCTGGCAGGTGGCGAGCCTGGTGCCCCCGGGCTGAACCTGCTCACCCGCTCGGAGGGCCGGACCATCGCCCTCGGAGGGAAGACCTCTGTGCCAGTGGGCCCCGGGGTAAGGACCCGCGTGCGCGCCCTCGCCCTCACCCTTGCCGGGGCCCGCAGAAGCGGAGGAGCGCCTCCCGGGGAGGGCAATGCCTCCCCCCCATGTCCCCTCCCTTCTCTTTCCTGCAGGATGTCTTCTGCTTGCGGACTCCCGGCGGGGGTGGCTTTGGAGCACCCCCTGCGAGTGCCGCCCCGGCCCAAGGGCAGCCGGCGCCCCCCAGGGTCCAGCGCTTCCTGGAGCGAGGAAGCCTCCACGACTACCGCCTGGCGCAGGAGACCAGCTGAGGGGAGCCCCTGGACGCGCTGCTTTGGGGGGGCTCTGGCGGGAATGTGGGGCAGGCATGGCCCGCCGGGGGAGGCTGAGCGGGGCAATCGGGGGAGGGCTGCCTTCCGGGCTGCTTTGCTTGAGAGGCGGGGGCCGGGCCGGGGCCGCCCCCCGCCTCTGGCCGCTCTTCCCTCTTCTGTCCCATGGGGGAGAAGCTGCCGTGGGGCTCGGGGGGGGGGGGGGCTCAGCCCTCTCCTGCTCCGCTGCGCCAGCTCCCCGCTCGGCCTCCCCCTCCACCCCCCACCCTTCTGCCCCCACAGCCAGTCGCTCCGTGCGCTTGCGCCCCCTCGGGGCTCCTGCGACGCTCCTCCGGCTGCTCTCCTCACTCCCCGCGGCTTTACGGTTACTCGGCAGAGCAGCGTCCCGCTTGCGGCAGGGCTGCTGGGGGGGTGCTGTGGGGCCGGCCCGCCGGCAGCAGCCCTCCCGTGCGAGCAGGCCGGTTCCTGTGCCTTTTGAGTGCTGCCGCGTGACACGGGAGGCGCCCCTGCGAGGCCGGGCGGTGCCCGTGCCGGGCCCCCTGCGAGGAGCGCCTTCCCGGCTGCAGGGCGCCAGGCGCACGTGTGCCGTACACGCCACGCCGGCGCCCTGCCCTTCCCGCCCGCCAAGCCTCCGGGCGGCTTCTTCGCCCGAGCACGCCATGCTGAGCGCCCGGGTGCCGGCAAGTCACAGGAGGCCCGCGCGGGCCTCACACCGGGGCGTGGGGGGGCAGCTCTGCCAGGCCCCCCGCTTCCCGCCAGGCCCTGCCCTGCGGCGGGGCCCATCCTGCGCCTCACGAACCAGTGAACCGCGTGGGGCACCAGCTCTGGCACCGACAGCGTTAAATCGATTCGCTGAAAAAGGGCCGATGGGGCCGCCTCACATTCCGGGACACGTGACCAGCCCAGACCCAGTCCAGCCCTCTCACACGTGTTGGCCAAGCAGCCGCCCACAGGGCCCCTCCAGCGGGGGGGGCAAGGCCCCCCCAGCTCCTCCGCCACTGGGATGTGCGGGCAGGCCGCCTCTGTGGGAGCGCGGAGCACACGGATCGCCGCCTCTTGCTCGTCCCGTTGTGCAGCCGTCCGGATTGGGGCCCCTCCGCGCAATCCCACAGGGAGCAGCAAATCCCCCAGTTTGAGTGCGCGCGGTGCGAAGAAGGACGCCCTCTGGCCTCCCGAAACCCCCCTGCAGCCAGGCTGGCTTTGGGTGTTCTGGGGGGGTGCCTCCCGGGTGCCCCCCCGCCGCCTCGGCCCTCCCTTGAGGGGCTCACGAGCCGTCGCTGCTCCGCAGGGTCAGATGCCAGCAGGGAGCAGGCGCTGCGGCGAGCGAAGGGCTGCACGCCGTCTGCAGTGGGGCACCCCACAGCGCCCCTGCCGCGCGAGCGCCCTCCTCTGCCGGCCGCTGGCTGGGCGGGACTGCGTGTGACGGGCGGTAAAGCGAGCGACGGAGAATTGCCTCCGGACGGCCCTGCGGACGTGTATCCCCCGGGAGGCGGAAGCCCCCGAGTTGCCGCGGCTCAGGGGCTGCTGCGCATGCGCGCCCCGCGCCCCACTCCACGCGGCTCGTGCGCGGGCTGGGATGCCCGCCGCCTCCCGCCCCGGCCCGGGGGGAGGACAGCCCCACGCAACCCGGGGCGGTGCGCAGCGCGCCGGGCAGCCCGAGTGGGGCGGCGGCGCCGGGGCTGCACCGGGCGCCCCCCCCCCGGCTCCCTCGCTCGCGCCGCCCGGCGGAGCTTCTGGGCGCCGGGCCGCCGTAGGGCAGGCGAGGCGCTTGCCCGCCCTTCCCGCGGGCGCCCCCGGCCCCGGCCCCACGCCGGGCGGCCTCGGCCAGTCGCGGCTGCCGCCGGGTCCGAGCCCCTCGGAGAGACGCCCCGGGGGGGCGGCGGCTGCGCGGCGGGGCCCCTCCCGGAGCGGCACCTGGCTGCGGAATCGCTCCCCGAGGAGGCGCGCCGGGAGCCCGCTCTTGGTCCCTTCCGACCTTTTTGTTTCCTGACATTTTAATAGTTAAACAATCGTAATTCTTTTAGGACCAAACGCGGCTTGTGTGGCATCTTTGTTCTGCTGCTGCACAACACGAATGCGGCTGTTGTGGGCCTGCTGTTGTTTTCATATTAGGCATATTCAATCTTAGTGTTTCTAATATTGCTATTGGCATTTTAGTTTGTAATTTTTTAAAAAAATTAATTTTGCAATGTAACATTCATAGAAAAGAAAAATTTACCATTCAAATAAAAACATACAACAGTAAACATTCAATTAAAACAAATTGTACAAGACACTGCATCCCACCACTGGGACCTTTGTATACATGTTAAAAACTTTTAAAAGTTCTTTCAAGAAGCTTCCAAAATTCCCAAATTTTAATAACTCCTGTGAAGGTTAGAATCCTTTCCCCTTTTTAAACACATAATCAATAAGAAAGGCCGGGGGCTTGGGGTGGGCCAGGCCCTGTTGGCTCCCCCATGCAGCTCCGCCATGCAAAACTGCACCCGTGCCCCCGGAGAAAGAAGCCAGCCTGCATGAGGGGCCTTCACTCTGCAAGGAAGCTAGGAGTGCTCTCACTGGAAAGGCCCCAGAGCGCCCCCCCCCCTCTTGTCCCAGGCAAGCGACTGAGGTGGGTGTGCTTCCTGCCAGCCCCTCCTTCGCACCCAGGGCCCAGGGGCCGCATCGCGCCCCCACCCCGCAGTCCCCTGTTGTCCCAGCCCCAGTCTTGTAGCAGCCTGGAGCCCCCAGACCCGCTGTGCTCCCACCAGGCTGAGGGCAAGGCATGGCGGGGCCGCCCATCACCTGCATGGCGCCCCCCACAGCGGGCATGAGGCAGCTCTGGCAAGGTCCCCCCCCCCCACATCTTAGCTGGGTGCCTGAGCTGCATTCGGAGCTCAAGGGGCAGCCACAGCCCCAGGCTTGGAGCCTTGGCTGTGCCAACGTGGAACCTGCAGGAATTCCTTCAGCTCCATCCGGGGAGGGCAGGGCTTGCACCCGGAGCCTGCTACGTGCGAGGGGCTGCTTCCCAGCCGTGCCTCCCTCCCGCAGTGTCCCCGGAGCTTCAGTGCTCAGTCTTGCTTGCATTCACTGTGGCCGCTCCCTCGACTGACATCTGCATCGACCTGCCAGCCACAAGCCCAAGATCTTTATCGATGATTTATATGAGGAAGTACAAGGGAAGATCATCAGACCTGCAGATGATACAAAACTGGGCGGAACAGCAAACACCCCGGAAGGCAGAATGAAGATCCAGGGCGATCTTGACAAACGAATCCTGGGCTGAAAGCAACAGAAGCGATTCAGTGAAGACGGGCCACGTCCTCCACCTGGGAAGGAGAAGCCAAAGGCATCGCTACAAGATGGGAAGCCTGTGGTTCAGCAGAACTGAAAAATAACTTCTTGTGGAGGACAGGCTAAACATGAGCCAACAATGCGATGCAGCTGCAAAAGGGGCAAATGCTATTCTGGGATGCATTAACAGAAGCATTACTTGCAAATCATGAGAAGCAGTAGTTCCCCTATACTTCTTCCTAGTCAGACCTCACCTGGAATCCTGTGTCCAGTTCTGGGCACCAAGATTTAAGGAAGATGCAGGAAAACTAGAAAGACTCCGGAGGAGGGCAGGAAAAATTATCCAGGGCTGGTGTTGTGGGTCTGATTCGGCACCTGACCTCTCCCAGCATTAAGGGAGGGCAACAATAATGACCCACGCCTTGCAGACACTGCCCTGTGAGGGGAGACAGAGAGCTGGGCACGTTCAGCCTTGAGAAGACCAAGGGGGACACGAGATCACTAGAAGTACCTGAAAGGCTGTGCCAAAGCAGAAGGCCAAGATCTCCTCTTGCTGATGCCGGAGTGCAGGACACGGAATAAGCAATTCAAGCTGCAACAACCCAGATTCAGGGTAGATACCAGGAAGAGCTTCCTCCCGGTCAGAGCAATGGGGCAGTGGGACCAGCAGCCCGGAGAGGTGGGGGGCTCTCCCACGCTGGAGGCATCCAGAAAGAGGCTTGGCAGCCCCCTGAGTGAGACAGTGCCAACTGGGCAGGAGCAGGGGGTGGGCCCGACGGCCTTCTGACCCCTTCCAGCTCCGCTCTGCTTTCATTCCTGGACGTCTCCATGCGCTCTGGGCCCAGGAGCACACGCTGGGAGCTGGGGCTCGTGGACCTCACACCCATCACCTGGTGCCTGCATGCATGTCCCGCTTGGCGCTTCCATCTCACTGGCAGCGCTGCTTGCTTCCCACGCGCAGGGCCGCCCCCCTTCGGGCCCGATCCGCACGGCAAGTGGGGCTCAGGCCACCTGGAAACGTTCCCCTCCCCATGACCAGGCCATGCAGTGGCTGAGGCCTGTGAGAGTGACCCACGTTATCTGTGGCTGCTCCTTTCCCTCCCGTGGACGCCCCGCTCTCGCTCTCACTCCCCCAGGGAGCACCCCGAGCGTTGCGGTTGCCGTGCGCGCCGTGCCGAGTCGCCCTGGCGGCCCGCACCGCCACGCAGCGCACTTCGAGGCCACCTCGCGCACTGGCTCTCCAGCGCTGAGGCGCTTGCTCTTGGCGCAGGCATCTGTCTTGGCAGCCGCCCCTGAAGTTGGGGGACGGCCGAATGCGGGAGCGCTGGCTCTCTGCACAGAAAACGGGAAAGGCCCGTGGAGGACCCGTGGATGGGGGCTTTTCCTGGCAGCACAGCAGACGGTCGGGTGACTCTCCCGGGACCCTGCAGCAGCTTGGTCTGCAAACTGCAGTTCCCATCTCTAGCGCTGACTCCGAGGCCGGAGCAGCGGGCTCCCCGCCGGCACGTGCTCGGTCCCTCCAGCTGCCTGCTCACCCACCTGGCCTGGGGGGCAACCGTGCAGCTCCCCATCAGCGGTGAACCTGCCTGGAGGCTTTGACCTCGGACTCTGGGGGGGGACGCGGCTGGGCCTGCCCGCCAGTCGCTCCGCGCAGGGAGAAGGCGTCCACTGGCCTCGTGTGGTGTGTGCACAGCGGTGGCTTCAGGCAGGCCAGACTGAGCGGCAAAAGGGCTCGTGACCTCCAAGGTGGTGCGAGCATCGGTGGATCCAGAACGGTCCCCCGAATTGGCTTTGCTGCCACTTCCCCTCTGGGAAGCGTCTGGACCAGCAGTCACCTGAGTGGGATGGTGGCGCGCTGAGTCCTGAACTAGCAGGTGCTGGACCGGGTGGCCCTTGGCCCCTTCTAATGCAAATGTCCTACGATTCTCTGCTCTTCACGTGCAGGTCAAGGCCGGGCATCTGCAGAAGGGCCCTTAAGTGTGGACCGCTGTCCTGACGCAGGTCCCGGCACCCGTTGTTCTGCAAGCAGCTCAAGGGGCGGATGCAGCCCAGCCGTGCTCGCCCGGCCCTCTCTGCGCCCACTGCTCTGCCCCATGGACAAAGCTTGGGACAGGAGGGGAAGCTCCTGACACAGACGGGCGCTGCGGGCAGCCCCTCAGGCTGGGTGGCCAGGGCAGCCCGGCGAGGAGTCCGCCACACCCATCCAGGGGCTGCCCCCCTAAAGCCCCCGGGGGGCGCGGCTGCCTGCGTGGGTGGAGGTGCCTCAAAGCCCCGTCCTTTTGCTCAGAGACCAGGAAACCGCTGAAGGAGCACAAGGGAGAGGGCAAGGGCCGAGAGCCCCGCCGGGAGAGCCATTCCACCTGGCACCCACACGCATGGCAAGGAGCAGCCATGGCCTCCGGGTTCCCAGCTTCCCTTAAAAAGGGGAAATGGAGAACAGGCCGCTTGCCCTTCCAGCATGCAAGATGTGCGGTGAAACGCGCAGCTCCTCTTCCGCCAATTCAGGTCATGAGAAACTGGCTGGGTTGCATCTTGTCCGTTTTTCTCAACCGAGGAAGTCAGCGCAAGAGTCAGCACTTCCATCGGGCACATTAACCGTTGTGTTAGTGACACAGCGCAGTCTCATCCTCATTTTCCCCGAGTTCGTTTATTTCATTTTTATACTGCCCAATAGCTGAGGCGGTATAAAACGAAACCTTTAACGTACATTAGAAGCACACAAATGGGATCGAGAGAGAGAAGCTTTTGGCCAGTCTGTTTTCTATTCTGTTCTTAATTGTGCCGACATGCCGTTTGCCTTCTTCACAGCCACGGAGAGCCGAACTAACATTTCCATCCGGCTGCCTCCTCCGCCCCGAGAGCCCCCTTGCCCCGTCATGCCAGGCCAGATCTCCGAGCATCCTTGGACCTGGGATGCTCTGACCCTCCCACGTGGCTCGACGCTCGCTCACTCCGGCCCGGCCCGGCCCGGCCCGGCCCGGCCCGGCCGCTCCGACGCACATTTCCTCAGCCGAGATCCCCGTGGAGCGCCTGCCGGTCTCGCCCGGTCTAAATAGCCTGGCGCCATCAGCAAACTCAGCCACTTCACTGCTTACTCCCAATCCCAGACCACTGAGGAACAGGCTGAAAACAGGGAGCGCTGCGCCTGTCCTGTTCTCGGAAGGAAGACAGCAGTGCCAGGACAAGTGGCCAACGGTGCGGCACTTGCGGAGGGCATGCAGAGCGCCGTGCGGCTTCAGAGGGCGGCTGCGCTGTGCTTGCACCTTGGGACCGTCCCCCTCTTGCTTCCAGGCGCGCGCTTCACAATCCTGGAGGAGTCTGGCCCTTCCTGGGCGCAGCTCCCGTCTGCGTCTGTGTCTGAGCAGCTCCACTCCCAGGACCTCCCACTGCTCCGCGGGCCTCTGGATGTCACCCAGTGCGACACCAAGCAACAAAGCGCACACCAGGACTGCCATGTTGCCTCTGAAACAGCAAGCGATCGGAAATATAAAACCGGGGGACACGAGGTTCCTCGACCCCGGCGGCCTCCTGCTGGCCGATCCAGCCGCCAGCTGCCGAGTGAGCCACAGGCCAAGGGGGCAGGGAAGGCAGGCAGTGCTTCGGAGGACGCGCCTCTGGCCAAGGAGACCCCCGCCCCCGCAGCCACGGCCCCCTTCGCTCGGCGAGCAGAAAGGCCGCGGGGCTCGGGGGCGAGGAGGGCGCAGGCAGGCCGCGACTCGAGAGGAGGCGCGCCTGAGCCGCTGGCCTCCCTCCTCCCGTGAGGCTGCCCTCCTCCGGCCCTCTCGGGCAGCCGTGCCTCCCGGGGCAGAGCAGCCTGCGCCCAGCCACGCTTCGCAACGGCTGCTCTGCCCCGGGGGCAGGACGGGCAGTGCCAGCTCTCGGGCCCAGGAAAACAGCGGCGAGGTCACGGTGCAACGCCAGTCCGGCCTTGATGCGGGAAGGAGATGCGCTCCGCAGCAAGCGGGCCGCAGCCCCGGCCCGGCCCGGCCCGTGGGCCCCACACCCGTAGCCCCGGGCCCCTCCGGCAGGCGACGCGATGCGCTCGAGGGCAGGACGCTGGTCTGCCCTTCCCAAAGGGCCGCAGAAAAAGCAGCACAGTTTGCCAAAACTTACGAGCGACGTGTGGCTGTTTACTTTCGGTTCTATGATGCAAAAGGAAGGGAAACATCGTGTTTGTTCAGAAGGCTGGGTTTGGGGCTCGCGGCACTTCAGCCGAGGCCGCGCATGACAATGGCTGATTTCGGAGCGCGGGGAAGGCCACTCCGCACGCAAGGGGCCTCTGGCCCTCAACCACCCAGGTGTCCTTGATGGGAAGGCCCCGTCCAAGGATGCCCCCCGCTGCCGGCCTTCCACCAGCTCACCGCAGCCTCCGCCCCTGCCTGCCCCCACGACGGTTTATACCCTTTCACCGTTTGGCTCTTTTGTGCACTGGCTTGACTGGTTCCTCCCCCACCCGAAAGGCAGGATTATAAAAGACAAATATTGGCCAGGCTGCCTTGTGGTGACTGAGTCCACACCTCCACATCCGAGTTTACACCTCGGACAGCAGAGCAAAGAAGTCCTGAGGCCACATCGGCGGAGCGCGCTGGACGGGGCAGTGCTCAGAGGACCCCGCTTCTGGGGCAGGTCCTCTCCTCTCCTCTCCTCTCCTCTCCTCTCCTGTCCTCCCCGCCAGACTCTCTGGCCAGGGCAGATGCTGCGGGCGATGGTGCATGAGCCCACCAGGACTCGGTGGGCCCTCCAGGGCAGGGCCGGGGGGCAACTGTTGCCTTGCAGCTTGCACCGGGGCCCGGCACGCCTCGCCCGGCAGTGGCAGGGTTCACGAATCTGGCCGCGCAGAAGAGGTCAGCCTGAGCCGCAGTCCAAAGGGCAAGTGATCGGAGCAGGTGGCCAGCTGCGTGATGAAGAAGGCTTTCTCCACGGCCTGCAGGCAAGCAGAGAAACAGGATCGGCGCAGGGCGAGCAGTGAGGGGGCGGCAGGGAACGAGCTCCCACGAGGGGCTCGGCCACGGCAGCGGCCTCTTCTGCCATGGAGAATTCACCCGCGCGCCTTGGCAGCGTGCGTGCCTGGGGCCAGCCCCCTCCCAGGGAAGGACTTTTGGAACCAGAGTTGGAAAGGACGCTGGGGGCCATCTTGCCTCTCGGTCCAGCCTCTGCAGTGCAGCGGCCGCTGTGCCCCCGGCCCAGGCAGGGCAGGCCGCCCCCCGCAGGCCCCGCCACGCTGCAGAAGAGGCTGCGCCGCTGGGGGCCGCCTCGCGTGAGGCCTTGTCCGCCACCCCTTGGTTCTAGGCCTGCCCCCCAGAGGGGGATCGCTGGCCCTGCAGAGGATCTTGGGCCACAGATCCCCTCACGCTGGCTGTGACTGATGGGAGTTGAAGCCCAACAACACCTGCACCCCCCCGAGCAACAGGAGTCGGCACCCCCTTCCGCGTGGCAACTGCCAGGGACGCGACCGCGTCTCCCTCGAGCCTCTCACGACCGCGCATCGCCTCCCCACGGAAGCCGGCCGCCCCGGTGGGCCCGCTGCTCCACCCTTTTCACAGCGCACGTCCGTTCTTTTCTGCCACAGCATGAAAGCCGGCCCTGAACTGGCCCTCCGGCCCTTCCCGGTTGTGCTGAGCGAGCCGGGGCCCTCCGAGCGGCGCTCAGAAACACAGTTGCGCCCCTGGTGCCTGTGCCCGATGGCGAGTCCTTCTGGACCAGCCTCTGCCTTCTGCGGGGCGGCTGCCTCGGCCAGCTCCAGGCCATCGCGGGCCGGAGAGGCGCCCCTCGACTCCTCTGTCGGGGCCACTTGCCGCGTACTTGGCCGTCCGGGACCACGGAGGGAGCCCTGCAGCAGCTCGCCCGGGGCCGTCCGGGGCCGTCCTCCGAGCTGGCCCGAGCCGGCCGAGCTGGGGAGACGGCCGGGCAAAGGAAAGGCACCCGCCGGAAAATGCGGCTGAGGAACCACAGCCAAGGGCTGCGTGGCGCTGAATTTCCTCCTCGTGGTCGGGGTTTCCACTGCCGGCACCGGCCTGGGCCGGGCTGGGCCTCGCTCCCTACCCCGTCCTGCCACGTCCGCTCCCTGGGCCAGGCAGGCCCTTCCGCCTGCTGCTGCAGGCCGGGGTGGGCGACCGCTTGGGGCCCGGGCACCTTTGGCCATCGGGGAAGCAGCCCTGGGCCCCTCCACAAAGAGCTGCCAAGATCAGGCACCCAGCCCGGAGGGGGCAGCAGGGGGCTTCGGCCTCCACACGCTGAGCAGCCTCCTCGGAAGCCGGCTCCCACCCGTGCCGAAGCGACCTCGCAGCCGGCCCAGCCGCCCTGAAGAAAATGCGCCGGTTGAAGGGGGCGGGTGGTGCCCGGGGATGGGGGCCCCACTCCGCCCCAGGAGAGACGTCCCAGCCCTTCGGACTCCTGCGCCCAGCCTCCCTGGCCCCGGCAGGCCCTTCTAGCGTGGAAGCCCACCCCCCGCCGCCATGGTCGCTGGGCACTCCCACGGGGCCGGCTGGCCTCACCGCTTTCAGCGCCACGGGGCCGGGGTGCTCCCGGTACAGGATGTAGTCGATGCGCCGCCCGCTGCTCGAGGTAGCGGAGGGGTCGGGGTCCCCGTTGGCCAGGACCGGCCCCGCCAGGTACTTCTCCCGGCCGGAGGGCTGCTCCAGCGTCCTGCAAGCAAAGGGGCGGCGAGTGTGGCGGGCGGGGAGGGGCCGTGGGGCGCAGCCGCGTCACCGGGCAGGGACATGCCCCCCACAGCCACCCCACAAACGTCCAAGAAACTCCGGGGGGTTCTGCCGCTCCCAGCTGGAGCCACCTGTAGCCGCCACACACAGCCTTTGCCCCCCCAGGAACTCCGCTGCCCCTCCCGCCCTCCCAGCCAGGTGCCCCACTTGAGAGGGGCCATGCCCGAGCCGGAAGTCAGCCGGCCCCCCAAGTCCCGCCAGGCTGCCACGCCCGTGGGCACGCCTCACCTGCGCATGCTCTCTGGGGTCGCCACGGCTTCGCGGTAGATCTCCAGGTAGTCCAGCAAGGTGCCTGCAGAGCACGGGGAGAGCCACGGAGGGTCGTGATCGGGGCGGGCGGGAGAAGGGGGGCCTGCCCCACACCCCGACCCCGACCCACCCCGTGCCGGCGCACTGCCCTGCGTGGGCCTCGGAGCCAAGGCGCGTCCTGGGGAGACGGGGGCCCGGGGTGCTCACCGATCGCCCACGCCTTGTCCTTGCGGGGCCCCTCGCGGCACGGGTCGGTGTACCAGCGGAAGATCTCGTGGCCCTGCTCCCTCTCGTTCCCTGGGGAGGAAGAGGCGTGTGAGGGGGCAGTGAGGGGCGCATCCCGGCCCCCCGGCCCCCGCTCCCCTCGCCCCACCCACCTGAGGAGCAGTTGTCGAAGTTGAGGTCCCCGCAGTACACATCAAAGGCCACGACGTCCCCCGGCAAGCCGTGCGCCTCCTGGAACTGCTGCGCACACCGCAGGCTGAAGGTCAGCTGCTCGCACCGGATCTGCGCATCGGCTGTGGGGAGGGCGGAGTGGGCCCCCTTGCCTGGGTGGGCCGGAGACCCCCGCTCCCTTCCGCAGCCCCCACGCAGGCAGGGACCCCGTGAGCCTCCCGGCTGCACCAGCTCCGTTTCCCTCGTGGAGTCAGGAGCACAGGGGGCTGCAGGAGGCGGGAAGGACGCCTGCCCCGCGAGGGCCCACCCCGCCCGCCGGGTCGGCCTCCCAGCCCACCTCACTGCCGTTCCGCCAGGGCTCAGGGCGGCAGAGAAGGGGGCTCCTTGCCCATCCGACCCCCACATCCGCCCTGTGAGGAGGGCCGCGAGGGGCGCCTGGCTTCATGGCTGCGGGTGGCCTTGGACATGGGCCCCACGCGCGTCCCTGCCCCACACTCTGGCACCACTTCCCCACACCCTCAACCCTTCCCACTCAGGTTGCCCGGCAGCCGGGGCCGCTGCGCTGAGCAGACTCTGGCCGGTCTGGAGAAGTGGCCACGGCAGGCGCTCGAGGACCTCGGGGCCTTCGGGCAAGCAGCCGCAGAGGGCCAACGGGTCTGTGGCCACAGGCACGACTCGCGCATTCTGGCCTCTGGCTTTCAGCATGCTGGCTCCTCCGCGGCAGCCCCAGCCAGGGGCCAAGTGCCCGCAGAGAAGCCCCCGGTGACCAAACTGGCAGGTCCCAGCGCAGCTGCAGGGTGGGCGCCAGAGGGAGTGCCGGAGGTGCCCGGCCCGTCTTCCGCAGGGAGCCCTTCCCCGGCCGCACGTACCGTCCGGGGCATGCATGTGGGTGCAGTTCAGGTAGCCCACTATCCGCTGTCCTTGCGAAGCGCCCAGCTGAACCTGAGACATGCAAAGCAGGAAGCCGGGGGGCCGAGTCACGCGGGGGGCCCCCCGCAGCCCGGCGCCCAGGGGCAGCCACCTCCCCGCCCGACGAGCCCCTCCGCAGCCCCGCCACGCCCCTGGGGACCCCCCGGGGGGACTCCTGGCGCCACGGCGAGCAGCGGCCCGACAGACTCACCTGCGCGCAGAGCAGCCCCTTGGCGGAGAAGGCGTCCTCGCCCGCGCTGGCCGCGTAGCAGTGGTACCGCACAGCCAGCAGGGGGTAGCGGCTGGCCAGGAGGAGGCCGCTGTTGAAGAGCTTCAGGGTGGAGCAGCCCACCAGCCCGTAGACGCCCACGTCGTGGACGAGGTGCTCGTAGCGTGGGGCCAGGAGCTGGCGCAGGTGCGCCGAAGCCCGCAGGTCGAACACCTCCTGCAGGCACAGGAAGTCCGCACCGGGGGGGAACTGGGCCGTGATCTCGCCCGGCCCCTGCGCCACCGCCTCCCCCTCCTCCGGGGGCATCTCGATGGCCACGTCGGCGTCGCCCCGCGGGAGGCTCTGGCACGCCCGGGCAGGGCTGGGGTCCATTGCCCCGTATTTCTGCTTGCCGGGGGCCCCCGGGCCTTGGCCGGAGCCGGGCTTGTGCGGCAGGCAGGACGCCTCCGCCAGCAGCTGGCCGATGCGCTTGGCCCGCCGCTGCGTGTGCGCCAGGTTGCTGAACCTGGCCAGCCCCTCAGGCAGGAGGCAGACGTTGCAGGTGACGAAGGTGAGGGCCCGGCCCCGGCCGGGGAGCTCCCAGGCGTCCGGTGGGCCGCGGCCCGGCGTGTGCTGGTAGGCGAAGGGGCGGCGCGCGGTCTGGAGGGGCAGCCATGCCAGGAAGGCCAGCAGCGCCAGGGGGGCGGAGAGCAGCAGCAGCAGCAGCAGGGCTGGCCCCCTGCCCAGGACCTGCAGCGCGTAGGCCGGGCCCCGCTGGGCCGCCTTCTCCGCCGTGGTGCGCCGCAGGGCCAGCATCTGGCTCAGCAGCCAGTAGGTGGGGAAGAGCAGCGCCCGGAGCGCGGAGTCCAGGCCCGCCAGGCAGCCATTGGGGTAGGGCGACTCGCGCAGGCCCATGCTGGCTCCGCGCGGGGCCTCCGGGAGCCTCGGCCCTCCGTGGGCACGGGGGCCGCTCGGCACCAGGCTCTGCAGGGCTGCAAGACAAAAGCGAGAGGACGCCTGCTCCAGCGCGTGGCCTCCGGGCCCCTTTCGAGAAGCACCCCCGTCGCCCACCAACGGCCTCCCAGCGCCTCCCCACTCCTTCCTCCTTCCTAAGGGAAAGGCACACGGCCGACCTCTTTGGCCGCCCTCGAAGGCCCTTCCTCTCCCCCAATTGACACGTCTGTGGGCTGGCGCAGCGCTGCAGGCGGCCCGGCCCCGGGGGGCCCTGGAGCAGCCCCGGGGGGGGGGAGGCTCCCCTCAGGAAGGGAGCCCAAGAGCCGCCCTCTCCAGCGCACACCCTCTTCTTAAATGCAAATGCCCGGCCACTAGGGGCGCTGAGCGCGGCGGAGGCAGCCAGGGCGCAAGCGGCCACGCACCCAGGCAAGGCGCCCGGGCCGCGCCGGGGGAGCCGCGCCTGCAGCTGCTTGGCACGAAGCCTCCCTGGGGCAAGCGGCGAGCCGCGTCCTTCGGTCGCTCGGCCTGGCCCCGCGACAGCCCGGCGCAACGGGAGGGCTGTGCGCGGCTACCCGGGCGCGGGGCCGGATCTCTCGAACCGCGGATCGCGCCGCGCCCACGGGCGGCACCAGCGTCCGAGTTCGGCGGGACGCGTGTCCCGCCCCGTCCCGCTCGCAGCCTCGGGGGTCGCCCGGGAGCGGAGGGTGCCAGCGGGCAGGAGCCAGCCCGGAGCGCCGCGCCTGCCGAGGAGGCGCCTGTACCCGCTCCCGCCGCGAAGAACGAAGCGCGCCTCCGGGCAGGAAGGCGCGGGCGGCTGCGGACGCCGCCCTGCCGCGGGGGAGCCGCCCCGGAGTCGCCCCGCCGGTACCGCCCCTCGGGGCGAGCTCGGCCGCCTCGCCCTCGCGGTGCCGCGCGCCCCCCCGCACCGCAGGAGCCCCCCTGCC